CATTTCCTTCTCCAAAGATAAAAAATGCCATGAAAAATATTTATGTTTATGTTCTTTCTTCATTCTCAGTTCAGTTCAGTTGCTCAGTCATGTCTGACTCTTTGTGACCCCATGCACTGCAGCACATCAGGCTTCCCTGTCCATCACCAACTCCCAGAGCTTGCTGAAAATCATGTCCATCAAGTCAGTGATGCCATCCAACTTTCTTTTTTTTTTTTTTCATTTATTTTTATTAGTTGGAGGCTAATTACTTTACAACATTGCAGTGGTTTCTGTCATACATTGAAATGAATTAGACATGGATTTACATGTATTCCCCATCCCGGTCCCCCCTCCCACCTCCCTCTCCACCCGATCCCTCTGGGTCTTCCCAGTGCACCAGGCCCGAGCACTTGTCTCATGCACCCAACCTGGGCTGGTGATCTGTTTCACCCTAGATAATATACATGTTTCGATGCTGTTCTCTTGAAACATCCCACCCTAGCCTTCTCCCAGAGTCCACAAGTCTGTTCTATACATCTGAGTCTCTTTTTCTGTTTTGCATATAGGGTTATCATTACCATCTTTCTAAATTCCATATATATGTGTTAGTATACTGTAATGGTCTTTATCTTTCTGGCTTACTTCGCTCTGTATAATGGGCTCCAGTTTCATCCATCTCATTAGAACTGATTCAAATGAATTCTTTTTAATGGCTGAGTAATATTCCATGGTGTATATGTACCACAGCTTCCTCATCCATTCGTCTGCTGATGGGCATCTAGGTTGCTTCCATGTCCTGGCTATTATAAACTGTGCTGCGATGAACATTGGGGTGCATGTGTCTCTTTCAGATCTGGTTTCCCCGGTGTGTATGCCCAGAAGTGGGATTGCTGAGTCATATGGCAGTTCTATTTCCAGCTTTTTAAGAAATCTCCACACTGTTTTCCATAGTGGCTGTACTAATTGCATTCCCACCAACAGTGTAAGAGGGTTCCCTATCATGTCCATCAAGTCAGTGATGCCATCCAACTTTCTAACCTTCTATTGTCCCCTTCACCTCCTGCCTTCAATCTTTCCAAGCATCAGTTCAGTCAGTTCAGTTCAGTTCACTTCACTTCAGCCACTCAGTCATGTCTGACTCTTTGCAACCCCATGGACTGCAGCATGCCATGCCTCCCTGTCTATCACCAACTCCCAGAGCTTGCTCAAACTCACGTCCCTCAAGGCAGTGATGCCATCCAACCATCTCATCCTCCATTGTCACCTCCCCCTCCTGCCTTCAATCTTTCCGAACATCAGGGTCTTTTCCAAAGAGTCAGTTCTTCACAGCAGGTGGCCAAAGTATGGGAATTTCAGCTTCAGCATCAGTCCTTCCAATGAATATTCAGGACTGATTTCCTTTAGGACTGACTGGTATGATCTCCTTGCAATCCAAGGAACTCTCAAGAGTCTTCCCCAACACCACAGTTCAAAAGCATCAATGCTTCAGCACTCAGCTTTCTTTATAGTCCAACTCTCATATCCATACATAAGTACGGGAAAAACCATAGCATTGACTAGACGGACCTTTGTTGGCAAAGTAATGTCTCTGCTTTTTAATGTGCTGTCTAGGTTAGTAATAGCTTTTCTTCCAAGCACAAAGCATCTTTTCACTTCATGGCTGCAGTTAACATCTGCAGTGATTTTGGAGCCCCCAAAAATAATGTCTGTCACTGTTTCCATTGTTTCCCTATCTATTTGCCATGAAGTGATGGGACCAGATGCCATGATCTTAGTTTTCTGAATGTTGAGTTTTCAGCCTACTTTCTCTCTTCCATCTTTCACTTTCATCGAGGCTTTTTAGTTCTTCTTCACTTCTGCCATAAAGGTGGTGTCATCTGCGTATCTGAGGTTACTGATATTTCTCCTGGCAATCTTGATTCCAGCTTGTACTTCATCCAGCCCAGCATTTTGCATGATGTACTCTACATACAAGTTAAATACGCAGGTGAAAATATACAGCCTTGACGTACTCCTTTTCCTATTTGGAACCAGTCTGTTGTTTCATGTCCAGTTCTAATTGTTGCCTGAATACAGATTTCTCAGGAGGTAGGTAAGGTGGTCTGGTATTCCCATCACTTTAAGAATTTTCCACAGTTTGTTGTGGATCCACACAGTCAAAGGCTTTGACGTAGTCGATAAAGCAGAAGTAGGTGTTTTTCTGGAACTCTGTTGCTTTTTCGATGATCCAACAGATGCTGGCAATTTGATTTCTAGTTCCTCTGCCTTTTCTAAATCCATCTTAAACATCTAGAAGTTCATGGTTCACATACTGTTGAAGCCTGGTTTGGATAATTTTGAGCATTACTTTGCTAGCATGTGAGATGGGTGAAATTGTGTGGTAGTTTGAACATTTTTGGCATTGCCTTTCTTTGGGATTGGAATGAAAACTGACCTTTTCCATCCTGTGGCCATTGCTGAATTTTCCTAATTTACTGGCATATTGAGTGCAGCACTTTCACAGCATCATCTTTTAGGATTTGAAATAGCTCAACTGGAATTCCATCACCTCCACTAGCTTTGGTCGTAGTGATGTTTCATGAGGCCCACTTGACTTCGCATTCCAAGATGTCTGGCTCTAGGTGAGTGATCACACCATCCTGATTATCTGGGTCATGAAGATCTTTTTTTTGTACAATTCTCCTGTGTATTCTTTTTTATTTATTTATTTATTTATTTATTTATTTTTTTTTTTTTTTATCACAACCATAGTGTATCTTTTTTTTTTTTTTTTTCATGTATTCCCCATCCTGGTCCCCCCTCCCACCTCCCTCTCCACCCAATCCCTCTGGGTCTTCCCAGTGCACCAGGCCCGAGCACTTGTCTCATGCACCCAACCTGGGCTGGTGAACTGTTTCACCCTAGATAATATACGTGTTTCAATGCTGTTCTCTTGAAACATCCCACCCTCGCCTTCTCCCAGAGTCCACAAGTCTGTTCTATACATAGGAGTCTCTTTTTCTGTTTTGCATTCTCCTGTGTATTCTTGCCACCTTTTCTTAATATCTTCTGCTTCTGTTAGGTCCATACATTTTCTGTCCTTTATTGTGCCCATCTTTTAATGAAACATTCCTTTTCTTGAAGAGATCTCTAATTGAAGAGATCTCTAGTCTTTCCCAGTCTGTTGTTTTCCTCTATTTCTTTCGATTGATCAGTGAGGAAGGCTTTTTTATCTCTCCTTGTTCTTCTTTGGAATTCTGCATTCAAATGGGTATATATTTCCTTTTCTCCTTTGCCTTTAGTTTCTCTTTTCTCATCTATTTATAAGGCCTCCTCATGTAAGTAGTAAGGTTTTCCCTACTTTCTTTAATTTAATTACAAAACCAGGAGCTGACCATGGCTCAGCTCATGAACTCCTTATTGCAAAATTCAGACTTAAATTGAAGAAAGTATGGAAAACCACTACACCATTTTTAAGTATGACCTTAATTAAAGCTCAGGATCAGGGTCTTTTTTAATGAGTGAGTCCTTCCAATGAATATCAGGACTGATCTCCTTTAGGATTGACTGGTTGGATCCCCTTGCAGTCCAAGAGACTCTCAAGAGTCTTCTCCAACACCACAGTTCAAAAGCATCAATTCTTTGGCTCTCAACTTTCTTTATGGTCCAAATCTCACATTCATACATGACTACTGGAAAAACCATAGCTTTGACTGGATGGACCTTTGACAGCTAGTTAATGTCTGTTTTTTAATATGCTGTCTAGGTTTGTCATACCTTTTCTTCCAAGGAGCAAATGTCTTTCAATTTCATGGCTGCAGTCACCATCTGCAGTGATTTTGGAGGCCAAGAAAATAAAGTCTCTCACTGTTTCCATCTTAATTATAGGAAGAAGTAAATTAGTTCAGGATTGCTTGAAACAGTTCGTACTTCCTTTCTGTTAAATAGTATGCTCAAAAAGAAGTATGTGCTTTCTAACACAAGAATGGTAGTACTTTTAGCAAATATGAATTCAAAACTCATTATTTTTTTCATTTGCTGAAGTCTTCTTATATTCAGATTTTATATTGTCACAAAAACATTCTGCTTATGCAGTTAGAAACTATACTTTTATCCTAGAAGTATTTCAAACATTCATAATTTTTTACTTTTAGCCAAAGTCCATTTTGATTTCTAGAGTAAAAAACACATTCACTATACACCCTATGCATCTTAGATATTATTAGCAGAATAGACTTAGAATGAGTTTTTCAATGAAAAAAGTATTGTTCAAGTACATTTTACCTCATCAGATATATGCATTTCTTTTGTTAGTTTTCCTCTACTTTTTGGTGGATTCAACTGAAAAAACTGTTAATTATCTGAAAAGTAAAGTCTTTTTGTAAAGCAGTAAGAAAACTGTCTTTCCTTGAGTTATCCTTGAGTTATCTTGAAAAGTAACATTTCAAAGCAAAGTACAAAATAAAATGTCATGTACAAGGTCTTCTAACTTAAAAGGTCTTTGAATATATATTCTTGAATTTAGAGAAGCATGGTGACATCTGTCTTTGATTATAGTTATATGGAGAAATTTTAATTCTAAAGCTGCATTTAAAACATTTCAAGTACACAATGATATTATATTCCTGGAATATGGCACATGGTGGTTATTTTAACATAATTGTAGATGTCTGAAATAAATTATTAAAAGACAGTCATAACAAAATCAGAACTTTTCATAGTCATGTTTATCTAAGAAAATTCAAAATAAAATTTGAATAAAGATTTCTCATCTCACAATTGTTCAATTAACTTTACAGAAGCTTTGGTTTAATTGCTGAAATGTTTATTTATTGGCATTGTGCTTCTAAATTGTTAGACATTAAATTGGGAAAATGGGTTGGGTTTTTTTTATGTTTTATTAAAGAAAAAATATTAGATACTAATATAGGAAGAAAAAAAGAATTTGCTATTAGTCTGCTTTCACAGTAGATCTGGGTTCCTAGCCATATGAAATTATAATCATTTTTAATCTGTGTATTCTTTTTTCCATTTTGCAGATTGTTTTAAATTTTACTACAATGGACCTATACAAAAGTAGTTTGTGCTGGTATGATTATATTGAAGTAAGAGATGGGTACTGGAGGAAGTCACCTCTCCTTGGTAAGAGTTTTTTGTTTTTGTTTTTGTTTTTTTTTTGCTTTTTACATGTCTATATATAGTCTGCCTTATCCAGAGACAATTCTTTCAAGAGTCACCTTAGGACTTAAGGTACATGAGACCAGTATTTTAATTTTTATTATACTTTTTAAAATCATAGCAAAAATACTTACATATAGACAACAGATTATTTTATTTTTTTTTTCATTTATTTTTACTAGTTGGGGCTAATTACTTTACAGTATTGTAGTGGTTTTTGTCATACATTGACATGAATTAGCCATGGATTTACATGTGTTCCCCATCCCGATCCCCACTCCCACCTCCCTCTCGACCCGATCCCTCTGGGTCTTCCCAGTGCACCAGGCCCGAGCACTTGTCTCACGCATCCAACCTGGGCTGGTGATCTGACAACAGATTAATTTAAACCAGCTTCAATTATGAGATGGTGCTTGGATCTGAACATGATGATTTAGAATAGCTTATAGTGAATACTCATCACATATTCTATATTTTTAATTTTAAAATCAAAGTTCTAATGGGTAAACCAGATAAGTTGTGCGTTTGTGTGTGTATGTGTATAGGTTTTGTTTTTCTTTCTTTGCTAAAGCAGTAGAGCATGGGGTCTTAGGTACACGTTCAGCTGCTGGCTTCCTGCACCAAAAATATTGGTTCTTTCTGTAGACATCACAGTTTTGCCTCTCACATTTTTGTGGCTTAGAAGGTGTGTATGTAGTTTGTGTCATAAATTGTAACTCAAATTCCCTGCACATCAAAGTATCCTACCAAGTTTAACCACAGACCACACATCACTTACATGAGGCACTTTCCATTGCCCTCTGTTTCAGTTTAGGGTGAGAACTGCTGTGAGCATGTGTCTACTCTATTGATTTTTTTTGAAATTGTAACTTTCTCTTCTATTTTTAGAAGTGACTTTGCTCAGTTGTTTTTAAATGCCTACAGATCTTTTCTTCTTAACATCTAAAACCTGCTGAATGGACACATTTGTATTAAAAGTGACAGCAACCTTGGTAAATTCAAGAGATCTATAGAAATGCTTAAAACTAAGGAAACAAAGATTTTACTAATTCAATGTCAGGTTGAGGAAAACATTGTCTTGAACAATTAGTTTCTTAGCCTTGTAGTTGCTGTTGCTCTTCAGTTGCAAAATCCTCTCTGACTCTGATCCCACTGCCAGGCTCCTCTGTCCATGGGATTTCCAGGGCAAGAATACTGGAGTGGGCTACCATTTCCTTCTGCAGCAGATCTTCCCAATCCAGGGACTGAACTCGTGTCACCTGCATGGGCAAAAGTGGATTCTTTACCACTGGGCCACCTGGGAAACCCCAGTTTCTTAGCCTAGATGAAGCTGTTTATAATATATTGATATGTATGTGTGTTCCTAATAAAACATTTTATTAAATTCATATTGAAAAATCAAATCTAAAGCTGAATACCAAGAACAGTTTTTTACAGCACCATCAGCATTACATACTGCAGGGTATAATAGCCTAACACACTGGTTCAGTCTGACCACAGTGTTCATATGGAAAGCTTTTCCCACTGTTTCCTCTGAGACCTTGCTCCTCAGAATGTAGCCATCACACTTGCAGCACCAGAGTCACTTGGGTGTTAGAAACATAGAAATGCAGGTTCTACTCCATACCTTCTGAAACAGACTGCATTTTAACAGACACCCTGGCAATTCATGTGAATTACAGCTTTTTCTCTTTTAGTCAGGTTGCTATCTTCCAGCTTCCTTTACTCAGAATTGAAATAAAATTTAAGTACAGTTGATTTACAGTATTGTATTAGTTTCACGTGTATAGCAAAGTGATTCATACCTGTATATGTATATATATATATATATATATACATACACACTAAGTCGCTTCAGTCATGTCTGACTCTTTGTGACCCCAGGGACTGCAGCCCACCAGGTTCCTCTGTCCGTTGGATTCTCCAGGCAAGAATACTGGAGTGGGTTGCCATTTCCTCCTCCAGGGGATCTTCCCGACCCAGGGGTCGAACCCACATCTCCTGAAGTTCCTGTATTGGAGGCAGACTCTTTACCACTGAGCCACCAAGGAATGCAAAGCCAATATCTATCTATCTATCTATCTACACACACACATATTCTTTTTACAGATAATGTTCCATTATGGGTTATTGCAAAGTATTGAATATAGTTCCCTGTGCTATGCAGTAAAGCTTTGTCTATTTTATATTATAATAGTGCGTATCTGTTAACCTCATTGGCTTCCCCAGTGGCTCAGTGGTAAAAAACCTGCCTGCAATGCAGGAGTCACAGGAGACATGGGTTCAATCCCTGGATGGGAAAGATCCCCTGGAGGAGGGCGTGGCAACCCACTCCAGTGTTCTCACCTGGAGAATTCCCATGGTCGGAGGAGCCTGGGAGGCTACAGTCCATACAGTCACAAAGAGTCGGACACAACTGAAGCAATTTAGCCTGCACCCACATCTGTTAATCTCATACTCCTAATTTATCCTTCTCCCCCTCCCTTTCCTACACATTACAGTATTAGAGACATTGTTCTCTTTTACGTGGCCCTAAGTTTTTAATACATGCCCCTAATACCATTTAGGAAGACATTTTTTTTTTACCTGTTAGCTGTTAGTATAAATGTGTTTTGACTTTTTTCATATACTAAAACTATGTATGAAATCATTAGCAAGGGTACACAAAAATGAATGACAATGTATTATTATTTGTAGAATTATTTCATGTGTATTATCATATTTAACTTTTTACCATCAAAATGAAATCTTTGAGCACAAGAGCAAACATACAGTAAGCAATGAATATTTGCAGAGGGTAAATGGAGGGAAGAAGGAATGACAGTTATTATTATATGCATTCAATATTATGCTTGCCTATGGGTACACAATCAGAAAAATATCAAAACTCATACTCAAGTCTTCTAATACTGTTTGCCATTCTACTACACTACGTGCTATAGCTTTATAGATGAGATGGGATGTATGTAGTAACATAAGATCCTTAGGCAGCCCGTAGGTTTCTATGATAAATTGCCACTGAACTTGGCTAAACAAAGAACTACACTTGAGCTGTCACTTCCCAACTAACGACCAGACTGACAATTAAAGTAGTTTTTCAGGATCACTTGAGGTTTTTTCTCTTCTCTGTGGAATAACATTCCCTACCTTGATGTATTGTGTTACAAATAGATGTTTTGAGCTAGCTGTTTCCTAATTCTACAGATAGTGGTAGTGGTATCAGTCATTTAATCTAAGGGTGATATGTTCCAATATTCTATAAATAAATAAGAACAGATAGTTTTACTTATATACTTTTATTAAGTAAATATTAAGGATTAATAGCTATGGCTGTAGTTACTAAGCATGGTGATAGGAACCAAATCTGGTTTTATGTATGTAATTTGTAGCTAGTATGAAAACCAGTTAGAATATAAAGTCATATTCAGAAGTCTCTCTTTATTCTTTTATCTCTTTTAGGTAGATTCTGTGGGGACAAATTGCCTGAAGTTCTTACCTCTACAGAAAGCAGAATGTGGATTGAGTTTCGCAGCAGCAGCAATTGGGTAGGAAAGGGCTTTGCAGCAGTCTATGAAGGCAAGTGACTTTGAGTTTAGAGATGGCTTTTCCTTAGACCTCTTTAAAAAAATGTACTTTCAATTTCATTTGAATAGTATTGTAATTGTATTTTAATTATGCAATTTTTAATTATTTGATTTTCTAAATTGCATTATGATGTCCATGGGATGATTTTAATAAAAATAGTAAGTTTGATTGCAAAAATAACCTGTTTTCTGGTACCAGTAATGTGGTAATATATAAATGTTCTCATCAGGGATGTGTGGGTAAAAATAACTCATTAGAGATGTGTGGAAAACAGCAATCAAATGGCACAGGATTCTTAAACTTTGATTGTTTTTTCAGAATAATATTAAAATATTATGAAGAAATTACCACTTCTCTTTGTACTGAGTTTGTCTGTATTTTCTACCTGTATTGCGGAAATGTCCTGTTACAGGAAACTGCACAGAAAATAATTGTGCACAGTTCTGGAGATTGCTTTGTCTAAATGAGAGAGTCAGCATTCAAGAAGGATTTACCAGCTGCTTTGTTCTATATATCTCTCAAAGAGTAAACTGGCATTGTGCTTCCTGGCTTTAAAACCAGTTTCCTTCTTGATCATGGGTGGAGATGGCTCTCTTTGCTCCTGCCTCTGACAGCACAGAAATTTAGGCAGTTTACAAGACAGACAGTTTGTGCTTCTTTTAGACTTTTAAGAGGACAGGCGCTGTGGCCTGGGTGGAGCCACAGACGTTGCCCGTGCGGCCTGCTCACACCAGGGGCCCAGGGAGCTCTGTGGAGCTTCTCTCCTAAAGAGCTCTTCTACTGACTGAGGCCAAAGCCCCAGAGAAGCAGTTCGGGGGATCACAGAGCAAACTCGCATGGAATAAATTTTAGAATCTCAGACGGTTTTTAAAGTCTAACAAAGAGGCTTGTTTTTGTAAAGGTGTGAATTAACAGTGGTTAAAAAGTCTCATATTCCTTTGCTGACCGTCATCTAATATTTATAGCTAAGTGGCTAGTTTTTTTTTTTTTTAATCAATGAAATACTTGGTTGATAAAAGTATTGGCAACCAGCCAACCTTGATTTTTACAACCTGGTCTTTATATGTTCAGCTACAGGCACTGAACTAAAGTGCTATCTTAGAAGAAAATGGAAATGAAATGGCATGTCTAGGTTTATTTACTTATTTTTGCTTTCCTCAGCTATCTGTGGAGGTGAGATACATAAAAATGAAGGACAGATTCAGTCTCCTAATTATCCTGATGACTACAGGCCAATGAAAGAATGTGTGTGGAAAATAGCAGTGTCAGAAGACTGCTACGTCGGCCTGATCTTTCAGGCCTTTGAGGTAAAGTCCTTCAGGCAGCCTTTGTGGGGCACATCCTCCCTAAATGACACTGCATTTAAGTAGGCGAGAACTATGGAATCAGTGAAGAAGCAAAAGATTGCCTATAAAATGCAACATCAAGAGCGAGAGAACTTTTTTTTTTCCTTTGTTCCTCTCATTGCAGACATTTTCAAGAAGATTAAAGTGAGCTTATATTATCTGTGCTTTTTGAATTAAAAATGTTTGGAGTACTGAGAATAGTTTTTTTTGAAAAATGACCAGGCTTGTTTCACAAGAATGCTTGAAGAGTCCATTAAAAAAAAAAAAAAAAAAAAAACTTTTAGTTTTCCTCTAAACTAAGAAGCTAAAGGTAGCTCATCTTTTTTGTTGTCTTTAGGGGAAAAATCCATTTTTCACCTTTTTTATTATTATGTAGAAAATTGTTTATATCAAAAACAGGAATTTAAATATTCTTAGGAGATTTTGACTTTATCAAAAATATTTACTGGGGAAGAGATCAGCACCAGAATTGCATTATTAGATGAGGACAGAGTAAACCAAAGGCCAGTCAGAATCCTGGAGCAAAATCTGCATCCAAAACTACTGTGCTAGCTAATGAGTCATTTTTGTGTGACAGTGAGAACTGAGTAAGGGGTAAGAAGCTGAGAGACTGAGAATTTGTTTGGAACTCCTGAGCATGCTTAAATTATAGAATCAGGCTAAAAATTGAGAGCCCAAAGCAGAGTAGGTAAGAATGATGAGGTGTTAGCAGTAGGTCCAGGAAGAGATCAAGATGCTATTATTGGAGATTATTTCTTTACTGATTAGAGGTACTACTTACTGTGTCTGAGTGATCAGAAGTCTGCCGAGAACCCCACTTACTGTCAAGATATACTTGCCACTGAATTGGTGATTTGAGGTGTCTCAGTCCCCAAAGCAGGAACCCCAGGGGAATACAGGGTTTACTCGAAAACCCAGAGAATGTCTTTCCCTCACCTGCAATCTCTGTAACATGTGTTTTGGTTCTTCTCTACCCCTTTGCTTGTACCTTTAATTTTTAGCATATTTCTTTTTAATCATGAAAAAATTCTCTTTTCTCCTCTGATCAAGATGTTTATGCCCCTGACCACTTTGCATTTTTGGAAGCCTTGGTTCTGAGATTATTTGATTCACATTTAAATTTTAAATTTTTATTGGATTGAAGACATTACTGAAATAGATTACTTTGTTGTAAAGAGTACTAAAATTGTTTAGGATTCACCCACTTTTTAGAGCGAAACAACTGGTTCACTGAAAAATTATCTAATGACCCCATTAGATATGACCCCATATTTTGTGCTGTGGAAAACATTGAGAACTGTCTTCCAACAATACTTCAGTGTTTTATAAAATTCTATAAAATATAAAATTTATATATGTTTTATAAAATTTTATAAAATATAAAAACTTCTATTACAAAAGTAATGTTAGCAAATACATTCATTTGATGCATCTAAAAACTGAGACGCAGAAATTGCTGGCTTAGCTGGCTTGCAATTTTTGGGTTTTCTGTTTCTTTTTTTGTTTGTTTCGATATATCAATGTATTAAGAGTGGCATTCTCCAAAAATAGGATAATGTATGGACAAATAGGAAGTATTTATACCTCAGGCACTTAGAACCATGCTTGACACAGGGTAGTCATTTACTAAACCCTTGTTGATTAAGTGGATGAATAAGTTGTTACTATGTTTTGAAACTGAAGTAAGGGCATGTCATATAATAGCTTGTTTGATAGTATCTTTTATTTGTTATCACCAGTTCCCTCTCCTTTCTTCATTTTTCTTTATTTCCTTATGTTTGTTCCTCCTTTATTTATACAACGGGCATAATTGATTGTCTAGTAGGTCTCTTATCTTTGAGTAACAGCATCTTTGGTTGTTTAGTCTTACTCACACCAATGCAATCATCTTCAGTCTTCCCTATTTCAATATTTAACATTTGAGCATGTCACTATTCCGCTGTTGTCATTTGCTCACCAAGTCACGTCCAACCGCTTTGCAAACGCATGGACTCCTCTGTCCCTGGGATTGCCTAGACAAGAACACTGGAGTGGATTGCCATTTCCTTCTCCAGGGGATCTTTCTCACCTAGGGATCAACCCTGCATTTCCTTGATTGCAGGTAGATTCTTTACCACTGAGTCACTGAGGATTCTCCATGTCACTATTTACTCAAGGAATATTTCTGATTCCACTCTTTCTCTTAAACCCCAAGGCCAATTCATCAGCATATTCCATTGTCTTTGTATTCAAGACATCCTATATGCATGATCACTTCACATTTACCTTTTTGCCACCACTGCTCTGGTCATTGCCGCTTGCTTTGTAACTGGGTAAGTTCTTCACGTCTCTACTTTTGCCTTACATATCCTGATACCCACACAACTGCCAGGATGATACTCTCACAATATGAGTTATATCAAGCACTACTCTGCTTAAAGTTGTATCAAACACTACTGTCCATATGCCTCATGGAGAAAATCTTTGTGTTGGACTTTTAAGGCATGTGTTATAGCACTGTTGGTCCTGAGTTCAGTGTTAATGAATTGGAATATCTGTGAAGGTGACTTTAAACAGAAACACACATAAAGCAAGGCTAGATACTGATTTGTTTACAAAAGTTTTGTGACCAGAACCTCTCAAGGACCTAACCCTGTATTTCCTCAGGAGCTCTGAATCAATACTCGCTAACTCAGTGTTTTCAGCAACTTAGCTGAGCGCAACTACGGTGAACACTGAGAACTGACTGTATATATTTTTAATTTTGTCTAATGGTCATTAGATGGTTTGTTTCAGTTAGTAAGTTATCTGTTTAAATGGATTTATTTTGTTCATGCATTTATAAACAATTGTATATTTATATATTATATATATTTGTTTATTTGTATTTTATATATTTTCAATATGCAGTTTATACATTTTATATTGAAAATGTATAATTTTAAAATGGTCTTTACTATTTCTTAGTGTTTCACATCTTTTTCTGACAAAACCATTTTTATTTACTGATATCAGTCTTTGATTTTTTTGAAACACTTTATATTTTTGTAACTTTTTATTCCCTGTGTTACTCTCTCCCCTTTCAGATAAAAGGGCCCTTAAGATAAGCTAGTTCTGTTGCAATCTACTATAAAGAACTTTCTGGCTGTTCATTATTTATGCCTTTCTGTGAATTTATGTCATGAATATTCACCTCTTCTAGTGCTACTTAGATTTTAATTGTAAGTACAGAAAGAAATCTGAACAAGTGCTTTTGTTAATGAATTTCAGGTATGTTTGAGCAGGAAAGGATGCTATATGGGTGGTAATAAGAGTCCTAATATATCTGCAATCATACCCTTTGGTACAATTTTCTTCTCTAGCAGTTACTAATACATTGATCCTAAGACCAGTACTGAAATGAAATTGTACATGAGTGTAAATAGTGTCTAAAATCATTTTGAAGAACACGTCTTCTTTTCAACAGTAGTGTTGGTAAAGCAGGCTCGATACCACTACTTCACCAGGGCACTTTCAGTATGCAGAAATACATAAGAGAAAAAGTTGGGGAGACTATAATGCAACTTCAAAGAAATGTCAATAAAGCAGAAAGTAAATGAAACAAATCCAGAGGTTACTTATGCTTAATTAAAATCCCTACATACATTTATTTACGTGGGATTACACTTGCGGCACTTGTCAGGTTTCTATACATTCTGATTTGGTTCTACCTTGCTTCTGAAAACCATAGTGTGTAATAGTTTTCCTCATTCTTACTAGCAACTTTCTAAACCACATACAAAAGGTTTTTTGTTTTTGTTTTTTTTAATCTTGGCACAGTTGACCTGAACAACACAGGCCTGAACTACAGTTATCAACTTATATGCAGTTTGTGTTTGATTAGATGTCAAACATGTAAAAAACTAGGATTTAAATGGCTAATACCTCCAAACTGCCTCCGCCTCTTTCTCTTCAGTGAGTCATTTATCAGTTCTTTCATTTTTGAGGCAGAGATTGCCGTTCCAGTTTTTCAACTGCACTAGGTTGACTGCTACATTGTTCAAGGGTCAACTGTACTTTATGAATTACCCAGTTAAGAGTAATCCTTTAATTCCTTTAAATATTTTATATTAGTTTAAATTAAGTAGGCTCATCTTTGTGAGTGAAGTTGGAAGCCAAGACAAGGAGATCTTAATTAGTTAACATTTTAATGCTTGCCCTGAACTATTTCTTTGGCTATTTGGCTACTAATATATTAAAGTATTGGTGAAAGTGAAAGTCTCTCAGTCATGTCTGACTGTTTGCAACCCTATGGCCTAGACAGTCCCTGGAATTCTCCAGGCCAGAATACTGGAGTAGATAATAGCCTTCCCTAACCAATGTTTTGTTTAATAATTATCAAAGAGAATTAAGTACCTCTCTATAATTTTATTGAATACTTTAGACTATCAGTCTACTTTGAAAGATTAGATTAAATAAACCTGCCCAAGGTCACACAATTCTTAATTGGTAGCACCGTGATTAATAGTGCAGTTCCATGGCCTGGCACTCACACACCCATTTTGTCTTGCTAGCAAAATGAAGCATATATATTCTCTCATGGCATTAAATTCTTTCCCTTCATAACTATTGTCGTTTGTACATTTGTATTTTTTAATCAATAAATGTCTATCAGTCAGGTACATGTCTGTTTATCCATCACTGTTTATATACTATCGTGTATATTTATTATCTGGCCATTATAGGTTTTCGATGAATCTTTGCTAAATTTATGAGTGAGTTAAAAATTATTGTGTCATGAGGAAAAGAAATCAAATGGCAGCACTAAAAAACCTGAATCATATGAAATCAAACCTAACCACACCTTATAGTTTTGATTTCCACATAGTTGATCATGTTTGTTTTTTCTCCACTATAGTATCAAAATTGTCTGCTTAAAAATATGCACAGTGTGACAGCTGTGAGCTAGTTTTATTTGGGGCAAAATGAGGACTGCAGACTGT